GGTGAAAGGGTTGTCTGCCCCCGCCCAACATCTCTCAGCCGACAAGTCAAAGCAGACGGCGGCGGAGGAAATCAAGCGTTCACAGACTCCTGCCGCAGGCAGCTGCTTTGTGGAGGAGGGACAGTCCCGGAATCCTCCTGCCTTGTCATTAAATGTGTTTCATGACGGGGAAGCCATCACAGCAGCCAAGAGCATTGGGTCAATGCTGCATGAACACCGTGGAGCAGATGGTCCCTGCCTCAAGGCACCGCTGCCCGCCTAACCAGCCCTTGGCAGCCATGCCACCATAGTGATGGCAGCCAATAGCCCCTCAGGGCAGTGCTGCTGACCCCTCTCTGATCCCACAGCTTCAGCTGCATCTCCAGCTGGTCCTTCTCCTACCTTCCTTCCCCAGGTTTCCTCAAGGCAATGGGGAAAGCAGATGTCACCATCCCCTGTGCTGCCCGTGACATGGTGGTGACTGTCTTAGAATTGACTCCAGTTCTGGGAGTTCCATGAGAGCCTTCGTGGTGGTGTGACAGCCCTGCAGATCAAACCCCCATCACTCTGAGGCCCCAGGGTGAATGTGTGAAGAGGGAACCATTAGAGCTACACTCACCAAAGACCTTCTTACTCTGAGAGCCAGGCTGAAGGCAAGGGGACACCGCACTCATCACTCCCATTGTCCCCACTCAGAAAAAAGGCACATGTAGCTAGAAAAACCTCCTGTGTCCTACATAGCCTTCTCTAGGGAGCAAAATCATATGTGGAAATGCTGTCCCCATTTTTCATCCAGATCTGCTCACCCTCTTGCCCACAAAAAGTCTAGTGGTCATAGTGCTGTCCAGCCAGACTCCTTCCCAACCTGATTCAGGCTCTGTTTCATGCAGAGAGCAACATCAACTATCTGCTGAAGATGGCCTTGGAGAAGATCGCCTTCCTGCCCTTTGGCTACCTCATCGACCAGTGGCGCTGGAACGTGTTCAATGGCCACACACCCCCGAACCGTTACAACTACGACTGGTGGTATCTGAGGTAGAGATATCAGGGGTAGATCAGGGTGTGGAAGCTGGGGGTGTACAAGAAAGGAAGACAGCGAAGAAAGGAAAAAGTAGCCATGGAGATGGCTGGAGAATGATGGCTAGACGGGTG